GCAATTTTGAATATCGAAAGGGCAGGCGCCGCGTCCCCGCCCGTATTCCATATCATTGAAAAATAGCCATGGCGGGGTCCATGTCAATGATGCGATCCAGCCTGGCGGCCCGGGGCAACACCCTTCTGGATACCACGGCGCAAAAAAAGAAGAAGCCTGGGGGAGAGGGGAGATGAGGGCGGGGGCAATAGCTTGTCGTCAGTGTTGCTGAGGGTGAGAGGGCGGGTGGAGGCAGGGTCCCGAGTTTGCCCTCGCTGAGAGGGGTCGGCGTCACCTTTCGGTAGGAATGCTGCCGAGCCTTCGCTGAAGGACACGTGGACCGCGCCATCAAAGATCACGCGCTGATATAGCCCACGCAGTGCGGCAGAGAAAATAGGGCCTCCAGCCTTCCAGGCGCCGTAGCTGATGCCGTCAGGTCCAGGGGCAGATTCGCGGGACCGACGGAGTATATCCTGAAATTGTTCTTCTGAAGTATCACTGGACGAGCCAGAGCTAACCGTTTGGATGTGCGGGTCGAGGAGCTTGAAAGGTTCGGGGTCGACATGCCTACGCTCGGCGATGTCCCCCCAATAATCGGCCAGCGTCTTGGCGGAGCCCCCAGGAGTACCATAGGGGTTCCCGCGCGGGTCAGATATGCAGCGCCGGAAGATCTTCCTGTCGAACGGGGCCCAGGCGGCAGCGAGCTCGCGTAAGCGAGAAATACGTTGATTCGTCCATTCGGGCTTCACTGCTGAGTCAGAAACAAGCAACTGTTCCTCTCTCTGCAAAGATACACGCATGAGGGGTGAAAGCCCCCCCTGAAACTTCTGTTGATCGTGCCGCTGCATCACCGCGCAGTCGAAAAAAGAAACCATATGCGTGTAAACCGCGGTTGCCCTTCTCGCAGTGGCACAGTCGTTATAGCGAGAGGCTCTGGCGAGTGCAAGCACCCAGGAGATTTGTTCCTCGACGCTCTGAGGTCCTCGGAATTCATGGTGAACTTTAACCCTGCGAGCGGCTTCATGTATAGCCCCCTTGCAATCCAGAACTCTCTGAACGGGATCCAGGGCCATATCGATGTCCTCAAGGGTGCGATTGACCTCGTTCCTCAAGATAGGCGGGCGCATCACCCATTTCGGGTTAATCGGCCGACTGGGTGGGGGAGCAGGAGCAGAGAGCCAAGAACACTGCGACGTGGCCGCTGGGAAGCGAGTCCTAGAAAAAAGTTAGAGACGACGCCAGAGATGGGCTTGTAGTCCAGGAGAATCAGAGAGGGAGTAGAAACGTAAATCCGATCAATCCTTCCCACCGAAATAACTCTATCGTCCCTGATGGTTTTGCGAGTGTGGCGAGGCTGGAATATTTCCGTGCACCCTGGGAGCTGGCCCAGGAAGAAGTTGCAGGGGTGTGTGTGTGTGTGGGGGGGGGGGGGGGGGGAATAGCGATAGATTTGCCATCTCGAACTCTGAGCCGACCTTCGCCACCAGCACAAGCATTGAAACCTCCTGGCAAAGTGGCGGCCGCTTCGTCGCTGCCGAGGCTGCGCGGGCGGTAGCAAGCATCTGACGTTTAAGAGATGTCTGAGACTCACTGGGGCCGGGGTGAATGTTGATGAGCTGGGGATTGCCCGTTATACCGAAAGGCCGAACTACGAGGATACACCCTGCCACAACTTCGACCGCCTGCAGACCTTGAAACTGAGATGCAATCCTATCACGCACCATTATGGCCACGCCTCCAGCGATTTCGGACTCCAAGAATGAACCAAACATCTGATATCTCGGAAACCGCTTTTGCAGCTCGGTGAGACCAGCTTCGCTGCCGCGGGTTTCCTGGATCATCGCAACGTCATGCTTTTCTCAACAGCCGCTTAAAGTAACCAAAAGTACGGGTTTGCATCTCGGCGGAGGTCCACATACTTCCAAACAGAGCGCGTGCATTCCACGTCGTAACCTTGAGAGAACTTTCGGAAGGGGAGGAAGGGGGGCGCCTGTACAGGGCCACTGGGATGAGGTGGAACGGGGGGCGGAGGGGGGGAGGGGGGGGGGGCACTAGCAACGACAGAAGCGCGTGCAAAGGCAGGCTCAGACTGCAGCGTACTACCAGGCGGCTCCCAGAGGCCCTCCTTGCGCACATGCAGTACACCACGTGGCTGATCCTGTTCATTACCCCCTTGAATATGACCTCGATGAGTCGACCCCTAGCGGGACCGCGTGCTGTGGGACACCTTCTGCAACATGTCGAGTACGGCCTGGTTGCTCACGTTCCATTCTCGGAAGCTCTCTAGGACGGGGTCGTACTGGTAGCCAGTCTCGGCGGCGCCCTTGATCTAAAAGAACTCGTATGCGTCGTCGGGTGACGAGATGTGGACGAGGCCCTGGTAGCGGTTGACCCCAAGCTTGTAGTCGTGCGTGGATCTCCCTCCTGCTTTGATGAGATCCGATGTTTGCTGCCATATCATGCTGGCAGCGCGTTGACGTTCGCGCACGTCAACGGGGAGGTCGCCTCTGACACGGATGATGCTGGGCCTCTGGTTCCGCGGGTCAACCCACGAGATGTCAAGCCCGCTGCAAAGGTTGGCGAAGGCGTTGGCGTTCTCCTCCGTACTGAATTCGACAGAATAAGATTTAGCAGCTCTAGCGATCTTGAGAGAGGCGTCGGCAACAATATGGGCGGGCAACTGTTGCTTCACAACGTTGTCCCAATGGTCCTGCCTCTGCTGCGAAGTGAGGCACCTCGGAAAAGTGCCGACCCACCTGCGCGTCTTCACGATAGGAGGCCTTTGGCGCCGTGGAAGATCGTCTGACATCGAAGCACTGCCCGCCACAGAAGCGGACAAGTTGGAGCGAAGCGATTGGAGATGCTCTGTGATGGAATGAACTCTGGATTCAACTGCTTCTTGAACGGCATGTGTGATGGAAGCCGCGGTGCCGTGCTCAATCTCCGTCAAGCGGGCGTGAAGGTTCTGGTAGTTCTGGTCGTGCGTGGCGAGGCACGCGCGCACCACAGGCCTGGAAAGAGACTTCCATGTTGCCAATCTTCTGGTTCGTTTCCTTGATGTCGTCAATCAGCATGCGCATCCAGCTCGGCGGTCTGGACGGGACTGGAGACAAGGAATAATAACCGCTGCGTCACGAAGAACGGGTTCTGGCTGGACTCATGTCGAACCGAGACGGGCTCGTCCGACGCTCAGATTTGATCGGAGTCGGGCTGACAGACGTGTGCCCGCCACGGCGCCGTTCATGCTTTGTCTCGGCCTTCTCCGCTTTCTTGACACCTCGAGGCGGCATGGCAGCGTACAGCGGACAAACTGGAGAGGTCCGAATGGTGGAGAAGAGTGGGGCAAAATGCCTGCAAAGCCGCCTGTCGACTGGCCGCACCTCGGGCCAGCCCCTTGGCTATGATTCAAGCCGAAGCCGCGGGGCGACGGTTTCAACTTGAGCCAACATGGCTACGGAGGAGGAGGAGGAAGACGAGGAGTGGGAGGAGGAGGAGGAGGAAGAGGAGGAGTCTGAGGAGGAAGAGGAGGAGAAGGAGGAGGAGGAGGAGGAGGAGGAACGAGGAGGAGGAGGAGCGAGGAGGAGGAGGAGCGAAGAGGAGGAGGAGGAGGAGCGAGGAGGAGGAGGAGGAGGAGTGCAAGGACCAAGACAGGGCGAACAGGGGGACGCGCGGAGTCCACTGCCGGCCAAGAGAGCTCTTGGGCGGGGGGGCCGGGAGGAGCAATGGCCTCCTGGCGCTACACACACAGCTGTGTGGACCTTCGCCCGAAACGTAGCGCATTTGGACGCCCGAAACGTAGCGTATTTGGACGCCTGATCGCAGTTCCCTTGCTACTCGTCCTCCTCCCCATAAATCCTCTTCCGCCCCTCCTCCACCATCGATCCCATCTCTCCCTCCTCATTATTCAAGGCAGAGGGGGAGGGCCTTCCCAGAAGGCTCAGAAGGTCCCCGGCCTTCTGAGAAGCTTCCTAAACCTTTCTGCGAAACCAACGATTTGGACGCCCGGGATGGGTACGGAAGACATGAGTACAATGCCCAACAACAAATGTTGGCCCAAACCAACAGCGGCCGCTGCTGGGCAGGCGGCCTTCTGTCTCAAGCGGACACAGCCCGCAGCGGCGCGGACAGCGAGTCCTGTTCAAAAATGAACAGGATCTGGTGTTGGGCATTGTACCCATTCTTTCCGTACCCATGTCGTTCGTGCCGAGTGTATGCTTTTGAACGCCTTCCGCGCGCGAAACCATCCCGAAGAACGTGTGCTGCACTGTGCGTGGTGGCAACCGCGGCCGAAGTTTCATGGTCATGTTCCTTGTTGCTTCCGTCCCATCAGGGCACGCGACGGCGTTCCCCACATGCGGCGCCTGTTGCAAGGCAGCCGTGCGCGGCTTCTCGTGCTGACCCCTTGGGCCGGACACCGGTGCTGCCACTGGTCATACTCCCGTCCCCGATGAGAACTTTCGCCACGAGTAGTGCCAACTGACTCACAGCACGGCATGGTCACCGCACCGCCTGGGGGCCCCCGACGTGTGTCGACCAGGGTCGGACTTCTGGGCTGGATGCGCCCCAGGAGAAATCCGCCCCGGGCGCGATGGCGGGTTCTTTGACAGCGCCGCTGGGCCTCTGTTGTTGAAAAATGCAGACGGCCGAACGTTTCTAGCGGTCAAGACCTGTTGCTCAGCGTGTCGCGGCGGCGGCCCTGGCGACACGCTCTTCCTCGCAAGCGGATGGCGTGTCGCTCAGCTCCGCGGGGGGAGGGTGGCTGGAAAAACCTCGGGACGTTAACGCTTGGGGGCTGGGACGGGGCTCAGCGCATCGCGCAGAAGCGCGGCAGGCCAGAACCACCCGCGCGGCACGCGAAACCAAAGCTCCCGACCGCATATGAGGTGCCAACAGCGGCGATTAACACGATCTTTCAGGAAACGCTGCTGTTGGCAACGACGGTGAAATGGTTTGTGAGGGGGCCCTTGCCGTGGCCTGCACCAGCGCCCAGAAGCCGCCCCACTCCTTCCCCCAGTCTGGGCCTCGTTGCCGCGGGCGCTGAACTTGTCCAGGTGGTCGCGCCACTCCGCAAGCACCTGGTTGCCGGATGCGCCCGCCTGGGTTGGCCGACAAGCCTTTTCCTGATCCTCGGATTCCTCCCCTTCCTCATCCTCTTCTGCACCTCCTCCTCCTCCTCCTCCTCCTCCTCCTCCTACTACTACTACTACTACTACTACTACTACTACTACTACTACTACTACTACTACTACTACTACTACTACGACTACTACTACTACTGCGACTACTAGTACTACTAGTACTACTAGTACCTCTAGTACAACTTGTACTACTAGTACTACTAGTACTGCTAGTACTACTACTACTACTACTACTACTACTACTACTACTCGTCCTCCTCATCTTCCTCCTAACTCTCCGCTCCGTCATCATTATCATCAGCAGCAGCGCCATCATGATCAACAACTGCCTCATTACCATAGCCATCACTGAATTCATCAATGTCATCATCATCATCATCATCATCATCATCATCATCATCATCATCATCATCGTCGTCATCATCATGATCATCGCCATCACCATCATCAGTATCATCATCGTTTTTAACCATCAGCATAATCATCCTCAGCATTACTGCCCTCGTCCTCACTCACATCCTCATCCTCATGGCCCTCAACACCATCACACTCATCGGCACACCCACCGTCATCAGCATCGCTCCCATCACCATTATCATCATCAGCATCAACATCATCACCACCATCATCAGCATCATTAGCAGCATCATCATCACCATCACCATCGCCATATCCATCATAGTCATCATCAGCAGCGTCATCACTTTCATCATCACCAACCTCATATCCATCACCATCACCATCATCATCAGCCGCATCATCATCATCATCATCATCATCATCATCATCACCATCATCGTCATCATCATCATCATCATCATCATCAGCATCAACATCAACATCATCATCATCATCATCATCATCATCATCATCGTCATCAACATCGTGATCATCATCATCATCAGCATCATAATCCGTATCCTCATCGTCCCCGCCCTCTCACCATTATAATCGGCAGCGTCAGCGCAAACATCAGAATCATCAGCATGACCAACATCACCCAGATACTCAGCATACAAGCACCAGCAACAAAATCACAACCACCATCGGAATCATCATCGTCTTCATCAGCATCATCATCACCAGTAACATCATCAGGATCATCGTTAACATCCTGATATTCATCGTTGTCTGTTCCTTCATCCTCCCCAGAATCCACGTTGCAGTCATCTTCCTCATCCGCCACCGTGCCACCTGGCACGTTGAGGCGCGTCAGGAGGCCAAATGCTGCCTGGTACGATTTGTCCACCGCTCGACAGTGCCTGCGTCGCCTCCCATGTCACGCGGAACACCGCCCGAGCACGCTACATGAACAGTTGTTGCAATTGCTGCAGAAAGAGGCGGGCCCATGGATAGGGCCTGTCGTAGGCACGCACCGCAGCGCAGGTGTACACATCATAGCAGTACGTCCGAAAGTAGCGGCAGTTAGCCTTGGTCGTGGCCGTAACCGCCAGTGCGTCACATAACGAGCGAACCCCGTGCGCAACAGCAGCCGCGTCCTCAAAACCATGGGAAACAAGGACCGAAGGAAGAATCTCCCACGCGCCTGCAAGGTGAAGTCGGCCTTCGTGGTGACCCCTTCATGCGAAGCGGCTCCGACAAGCACTAGGACCACCGCCAACGACAGGAGCACGGAGGCGGCGAGGACGGCAATCTCGAGGACGCCCATCCTGAACACCACCGCCGGCTGGATTCCCAACTCCACCACGAAGAGGGTCAGCAGCACAATGACGTCGGTGATCAGCATTGTGCACGCCAACCTGGCCACGACCATCAGGCCGAAGGACTTTAGTACCGCGTAGCGGCCCACCCGACCACGGCTCAGTACCACCATGCACATGCCAAGGGCCAAGGGTCACGACGAGCAGGAGGGCCACCAGGACAAGGAGAACGCCAATGACGATGAGGACCACGCCAACTGGGACCACCGCCATCCTCAGGATGGCGTGGAACATCATCATCAGCAGCGTCACCACGAGGGCCAGGAATTGCACTGAACCCAATGGGAGCACTGCTGGTGCTGTCGGCGTGGCGGTAGACCGACTCCAGCAGCGCAAGCTGCACGCGCTTGCACGTCGGGGACGGCGGGCCGCCGCGCTTCACCAGGATCTTGACCTTCGCGTGAGCTGCCGCCAGCGCCACCCCACCAGCGATGCGCACCTCGGCATCGCCCTCGATCTGCTGCCGCACCCACTCCAGCCGTGCCGCGACGACAATCCTAGAGGCACCAAGGCGCAAGCGCGCCCGAGAAGCCAGGGGACAATCCAGTGCGTCAAACCAAGTGGCCAAGTGCTGTCTGGTAGGGCTTTTGTAATCTTCTAAGGGACCCCCCCCCCCGCGGGCCGCACCTAGTCGAATGTACCGACCATACTCCTGGGGTGTCCCTGGGCGGCCATGCCGCCTCCCTGGGGCTCTGAAAGGCTTCTATGACGACCCAGGAGGCCCCCAAGACGGTCCAAGAGGGCCTCGAGTCGTCGAACGATCGCCCGAAGACTCCCAGAATGGCATCAAGATGGCGCAAGTGCCTCCAAAGCGCCCCTAGAGGCCTCAAAGAGGTCTCCCAAGAGGGCCCCCAAAGGCAAAAACCTCTGAGTTTCCTCAAGTTGGTGTTCAAAGATTTTGGCGTTCTCGCCTTTTCGGCTTTCCGACGCTCCAGAACGGCCCACGAGGCCCCCGAGTTCACCCCAAAACGAAACAAAAGGCTTCCAAGAGGGCCGCACGCACGGCCTAAGAGCGCCCCAAGACGGCCCAAGAGGTGCCCGTGAGGACCCCACGAGGCCCTCAAACAGAACCCGATCGGCTTCAAAACTGCCTCCAAGAGGCCCCCGAGAAGCCTCCCACAAAATCCCAACGAATATCCACCAGGCTAATAACCCACAGACCAGGCACGGTGGCGGGACTTGCCGTAGGCAGCTGGATCCGCCGCACCCTGTTGATTCATCACAGGGGTGCCTGGCGTTTGGTTTTGGTTCTTTTCCAAAAGAACTCCTCCTGGGGCTCTGGCGCGTCCCGCGGGGGTCCCTGGACGATTTTCAAGGAGCCAAAAATCCTCCAAGTCGGTCCACGATGGCCTCCAAGATGGCCACGTCGGCCCAAGATGGCCTACAAGATGGTCCAAGATGGCCTCCAAGTCCGCCAAAGATGGTCCAAGATGGCCTCCACTACGGCCCAAAAGGGTCCAAGATGCCTCCAAGTTCACCCAAGAAGCCTCCAAGACGGCCCGAGACGGCCCAAGAGGATTTTGGGAGTTGCCTCTTCTCGGCATTCCGACGGCTCAAGACGGCCCCAGAGGCCGCCAAGATCGCCCCAAGATCGCCCACGAGGCCTCCAGGCCCCATGACGGCCCAAGAGGCCTCCAAGATGGCCCTAAGAAGGCCCCCAAAGGCCTCCAAGACGACCACGATAGCCTCCAAGACGGCTAAGATGACCCCAAGAGGCCCCCAAGACGGTCCAAGATGCATCCAAGATGTCCTGAGATGGCCTCAGTATTGCCCAATACGGCCCCAGATGTTCCCAAGAGGCCTCCAAGACGACCCAAGAGGTCTTCAAGAGGTCCTCCAGGCGGGCCCGAAGAGGCCAAAATCAGAAAGATCACCCCAAGATCGCCCACGAGGCCTCCAAGATGGCCCCATGACGGCCCAAGAGGCCCCCAAGACGGCCCCAAGAGGCTTATTTTCGTCGTGGTTCGTGGTTCGTGGTGGTTCGTCCCCCTCGGCCCCTACCCTGAGCCTGAGCCCCAGCTCCCCCGGGCCACCCCCGCTTCGGAACCACCATCCGTCCAGGCTTCCCAGGGCAGCCCTCCTGGGCCGCGGAACCCTTTATTTTCGTCGTGGTTCGCGGCTCGTGGTGGAGAGGCGCCCAAGGCGGCCCAAGAGGCCTTCAAAAGGTCGTCCAGGAGGGCCCGAAGAGACAAACAGCATTGCTTCCCCTAGGGTTTTGACGGATTTTGGCATTTGCTTCTTCTCGACAGCGACGGAGAGACCATACAGGACCTCAAAGTCCACGAAGGATCCCTCCAAGACGGACATGATGGCCTCCAAGACGGTCCCAAGACGCCTCCAAGACGGCCAACGTGGCCGAAGATGGCCTCCAAAATGCGTCCAAGATGATCTAGATGGCCCCAGGAAGCCGCAATACAGCCCCAGCATGGCTTCCAAGACAGCCCCAAGATGCCTCCAAGACCGCAAAGATCAACAAAACCCTAGAGTAGCCCAAGGGGCTACCAAGAGGCCTCCTCCTCCCTTCTCCTTCTTCCTCCCTCTTCTCTCCTTCCTCCTCCCCCAGCGTGTTCCCCGAACGCTTTCCAAGCCGATTCGGGGAACACATGGTCCGTTAGCTTGGCAAGCCTCTGTCCACAACGGTCGGCCACATAGGCGGTTCCAAAAAGGCAAGGAGCGGCGGTGATTCGCCGTAAGCGTCTTCGATAAATGGTACCCATCCCGTCAGTGTCCTCCCCGTTGTCCTATTCCTCCGCCTCCTCCTCCTCCTCCTCCTCCTCCTCCTCCTCATCATCATCATCATCAGCATCAGCATCAGCATCATCATCATCATCAGCATCATCATCATCATCATCATCGTCATCATCATCATCAGCATCATCATCATCATCATCATCAGCATCATCATCATCATCATCATCAACATTATGCTTATCATCCTCATCATCATCCTATCCCTCCTTCACGAGGTCGTTCTCGTTCATTTCCCACTCATCTTCATTTCCTAGAAACGGCCTCCTCATATGTCTCTTCGTTACCCGTGTATTCTACTTCGTCCTTCCCTTTCTCCTCCTCAGGAGACGGAGAAAGTGCGCGACGCATTAGGGAAAAGATGTGAGAGGAGGGATACAGGAGAAGAAAGGGGGGGCCTACTCATCCTTCCGCTGTTCTCTCTCTCAACCTATCATTCCTCGTGCTCCGTCTTGTCAACCGTATCCCTCTGATCCTCCTCCTCCTAATCATCAACATCCTGCTATACTTGCTAATCTTCATTTGCCTCTTCCCCCCTTCACTCCACTCCTCCTCCAACTCGACACCACCCGCTGCTTAGAGCAGAGCATGTGAGTGCCTCCTAGAACCATATGAACATCGTAGAACACCGTAATATCAGAACGGGCATGTCTCACCATCATCAAAGTCGTCACCCTACCCCTCATCATACTAATCCTGCTCACCATCATAGCCATGGCCATCACTACGAGCGTCATTACCATTATCAACACGATCAGTAACATCATCAGTATCAGCATCACCATTTACATCGTCATCATCATCGTCATCCGCGTCTTCATCATAAACAGTGTCGTCATCAGCATCAGCATCCGCGTCCTCATCATCATCATCAGCATCATCATGATCGTAAGCATCGTCATCCTCACCACCATCATGATCGCCATCATCAGCCTCGCCATCATCACAATCATCACCAGCATCACCATCATCACCATCACCATCCCCATCACCATCACCGTCATCATCATCATCACCACCACCGTCATCATCATCATCATCATCATCATCATCATCATCATCATCATCATCATCATCATCATCATCATCATCATCATATCATCATCATATCATCATCATCATCATCCCCGTCCCCATCCCCATTCCCATCCCCAGCATCATCGTCTACATCATCAACATCAACATCATCGTCGGCATCGCTTTCATAAACATCGTCGCCGTCACAATCTCCACCGTCGCCCTCATAAACGCCATCATTACCAATCAGTATCATCATAATGACGCACGGTGATTGGGAAACAATGAGGGGGACGATCCAAACAATTGTTTTGGATCCCGGGTAAGAACACCATCCTCCTCCGGATCCTGGGGCCCAAAAAGGCCGCAAGACAGCTCAAGAGGCCCCTAAGACAGTCCAAGAGGGCCCCGAATCGCCGAACAATCGGTCCAAGACGCCAGAGATGGCCTCCTGACAGCCCAAGCGGCTTCCCAGACGCTCGGAAAGGCCTCCAAGAGCACACCCAGAGGGTCCCAACAGGCAAAAGTAAATGGTCTTTTGCAGGGAACTTGGATGATTATGGCGTTCTCGCCTGTTCGGCTTCCCGACGCCCCAAGACGGCCCAAAGTGCCACCAAGATCGGCACAAGAGGCCCCCAGGAGGTTTCCAAGACGGCCCAAAAACAATTGAAGATAGCCCCATGATGGCCAGAGAGGCCTACGTAGAGGCCTCCCAGACGGCCCAAGAGACCCCCAAAACAGTTCCAAGAGGGTGCCTGCGCGGGAGCCCGAGCAACCGTTTCGAGCCCTCGGCCCCGAGAAGCTCCCAGGAGGCCCCAAGAGGCCCTCAAGAGGCCCTCGCGAGGCCCCAAGAGGCCCCCAAGAGCCACCGGGAACCCCGCAGGGACCCCCAGGAGGCTCCCGAGAGGCCCCCGAGCTTCCCCCGAGAGGCCCCCCAAAACTGCCCCCCGCGAGGGCCCCCGAGCGCGCTGCGAGGAGACCCCCGCGAAGCATCGCGGAGGACTCGGCCCCACGTCAGCGTCGTCGCCGCCGACGACGCCAGAGTGGTCGTCGTCCCCTTTCAGTGAAGGGGCCCTGGGACACCCCCATATTTTCCCATATTTTCTGGGTTTATGTCTTCCCCCCCACTGCCCATATTTTCCCATATTTTCTGGGGAATCGACGATTAATTATTTTTTGTATCCCCTCCTGATTCAGGGTTGGCGGCACCGGACGTAATGCCTTCCCTTGATCTTAAAACCCAGAAGTATTCTAAGAGCAAAAGCAATGTTCTCAGGGCAAGAGCGAGGTGTCTTGAAATAGCACAGCCCCAGCCAGGACGCTTCGCCACTGCTTGATTCCCAGTAAT